CACACACACACACACACACACACACACACACACACACACACACACGCTATTCATTACAAAACAATCAACTCATTCAGACACTTCTTTCTGTATGCCGTGGTCACAGCAAGTGACCATGAATGTTTAATTTCACGAGCCGCCGTTTTCTGAAAAGAAAAATTCCTGATTACTTTTAAGGGGTTGTCCAAGTTAATCTGCAGTCCCGTAGAAGCAAACAGAAAGAAGCTCATTAAGAGTAAGAGACAAATATAAAAAGATGCAATCAAAAAAGCAGTAGCTGAGTCATAATTAATGGTGCAACGTATTAAATTCTTGCTGCAGTTGCGACCAGTAGATTACACTTCCCACGTTCCATAGAAAGAGGAAACTGCTCGAGTCTTTGAAAGCACAAACTTAAATTTATAATTCACACCTTTTTATAGGAGGTTCTGGAGAATAATAAATATTTTAATTACTGTAGATGACTCTGAGTGGCTTCAGTTTGGAAATATTGAGTTTAATTCTGAACTAATGGCTCGTCAAAGGCTACGTTCACACTGCAAGCACAAGTGACAAGCCCATTCAAAAAACACATATGTAAAAACCATTTTCAAAAATTTTAATTTTTATAAACTGGTGATATTTTTTGAGATAGAAATGGCTTCCAGAAGGCAGTGTGATGCCCTTTGTTTCAGCTTCACACAAACTAGCCGTTAGCTTTTCAATCCGATCCGAGTCAAGCTGTTTCCCCAAACTATCTGCAACAGGTAAGATATTCTTTGCTCGAAATTTTAACCTCTCTTTAGATGTTCTGTTTCAACCAGATGACGAGTAGCCATGCACAAACTCCAACAGATTGAGCACCAAACCAGCAAATATGAAACAAAGTTTTGTCTTTATTTTACATATCTGTACATAAACACTCCTCCCCCCTCAAATAAAGTATCTGAATACAATAGCATGAAAATGATATTAACACACTTATTCATTTAAAATGACTCGTGTCAGAAAAAAATCAACATTCACAAAATGTTGAAGAGTGAACATATTACCAAACTCTACAACTCCACTACAAGGCAGGCATGTTTCCTTTTACACTCTTTTAGCACCTTCAAAATGAACAATTCTCAGTTGAAAACTACCATTTGTGCAGAATAAAAACGCTTCAAACTTTTGAGATACTTTAAAATTACCATCCAACTAAAATGATCAAAAGAAGTTAAGTGTTAAATATTTTTTTTCTTGGTACAGTGTTTCTTTTTTTTTCTTCTCATGACTGACTTTCTACTATTTTATTGAAATTTTTTTATTCTCATATTTTTTGTTGTTGTATTTGAACAGTTATAATTTAGTGGCAAATGTAGAAAGTTAAAAAGAAACAATAGCAAAGCAAGGCCGATTACTGCACAGGAAGCTGGGGACAGAATCTATGGCAACACACAATCAGTTTCCTCTTCTCCCAGGAAGCAGGACGTGCTGCTCCATCCTCGTCGCAGGGAGAAGCAAATTACAGAGAAAGTCTGAATGTTTGCTGTGCTGTTTGCTACCAGTGACGTCTGTGAGCCGACAGGAGGGCGAGGGAAGAGCGGGAAACTGGAGGGGGAAGCAGCGGGGAGCAAAAGTACTCAGGACAAGCGGGAAGGTTTTGGGTAGACACAGAGGCGAGGTGAGCCGTGGGGGTAAAGTTCGTCTCGGAGCAAGAGAGGGCGAAGCTTGGTAGGGAGACAGAGTGGATCAGGGGTGGGGCATCTTATTTGGATAGGGTCCTCTCAGCCAAATGTTTCTGCTGGCTCTCTGCGTGTCTGCAAACAAACAAACAAACAAACAAAAAAAGTCACAAAACATTCATATAGCAAGGAACAGATCGCATAAACCAGATTTAACACTATTACTATCTAAACCAGTGGTACAAAATCTTGATCCTGGAGGACCACGATCAGGCAGGTTTTAGTTGTTTCCCTGCTTTTTAGCAGGTCTTCACTTTCTGCAGAAGTCCGTCATCATTTAATCATTCAAATCAGGTGTGTCAAAGCAAAGAAACAACTAAAATATGTATTCAGCATCAATCCTGCCTGCCTGCCTGCCAAATGCAGTTGTGGTCTGCGTCGCAGGGTTGAGTTTGTAGTTTGCAGCAATGCAATGAATAATAATAAATTGTAACACAGGATTCTTGGAGAATTACACCTTCTCATCATAATGCTTCAGTGGCGGATGCTGGTCTTTCAAGAAGAGGAAGCTCAATTTCGGCCTACATCATAAAATGTGTCGGTTTTTAAATTCTACCCTCCGTTCCTTTTCAAGAAAATACCTAATCTGAGACCCTGTCACAGACCTTTTTTAAAAAAGTTTATAGTATTTATTCATTTCATTTAAAAAAACAAAACATTACATACAAGAAAACAATACAAATAAAATAAAATGAAAGGCAGCAGCAGAAGAAAAATATCTTATATCTGCTCCTATTTACAAAAAATATTAATGTCAAACAATAAACCAAAATTAATGTATATGTATATTAATGGCATTTGTGAAGTATCTAAACAGCTGAAGTTTATCCTGTTTGCAGATGATACAAATTTATTTTGTTCAGGAAATGATCTTAAAAAACCTTATGGAACAAATGGCTAGTGAGATGTCTAAAATTAATGAATGGCTAAAATACAATAAATTATCAATAAATTGGAATAAAACTAAATTCATGATTTTTAGTAACAAGAAAATAGATGGCTCTACTATAAYGTCCATAGATGATAATATAGTGGAACGAGTATATGAAGTTAAATTTTAGGGGTTGTCTTGAATCATAAACTTAACTGGAAATATCATATAAAATATATAAAACAAAAACTATGTAAAAGTATTGGACTCTTAAATAAAGTAAAAAAAATATTTTAGAACAACCAACACTCCATTCATTATATCACTCATTTGTTGCTCCTTATATCAGTGTTTCCCAAAGTTGGGGTCAGGACCCAAAGTGGGGTCCTGAAACATCAAGGTGGGGT